GAGAGAGAGAGAGAGAGAGAGAGAGAGAGAGAGAGAGAGAGAGAGAGAGAGAGAGAGAATTGAGTACAGACACTAATTGCAGAACAGGAACACTGAAGGATTATCCAAATGCAATGTGTGTTTTTAAAAAGAAGATACTCGTTAAATGTTGTGGTTGCATAGAATAGTTCTAGTCAGAAGGAATCTTAAAGCAGCATTGCAGTGAGAGACCAGAGCTGAGTGAGGATAAGCAAGGTGCAAGGCAAAGACCTCGCTGTGCAGACTTTGCTTCTCAGCAGTCCCTGGTTCTCTCAGTTGATGAATACAGGGGTTCAGCAAGGAACTCTCCAAAGTTTGTGCCAGTGTTGAGAGACAGGCCCTAGTGAGCGGTAAAATTTAAATCTTCAAGAAATTTACCTTCTAGCTTCCACGGGTGTTTCACATCATCCTTCATTTTCAAAGGGTGCAGAGTAGGCCTTTGAGTGGAATGGATGTCTGTTAAATTGGTGTATTAAAACTATTAACTTCTTAGTAAAGTCTCTAATTTTGATTTAAATATTTTCAGACTTCAGATATGTGTTTTGTCTTGCTATCAAATAAACCATATTTATTTTTTTTTAAGGGAAGTACATTACGTTTGTTCTGAACCCTTTCCAGTACCATCTCCTAATGAGAAACTCCAAACAATTAAGTTTCGGGACGTTCAGCAGAAAGTTATCAGCAAAAGCCTTCTCCATCAAGAAGCTGCCAGCTGATGATGACCTTAATGACGACATTCACAGAGCTTACCTGCTTTTACAAGGCAAAGCTTTGGACAGTCTCCTAGGAAGCATGATCCAAGAACTAAAAGAAATACTTGAGCCCCAACTACTAAAAGGCATAGATTGGAAAACGACAGGACTGTTCTCATTCTGTAGCTCACTGGTATTTGAGGCCACGTTTACAACTGTATATGGAAAAGTTCTTGCTGGTGACAGGGAAAAAATTATCAGTGAACTAAGAGATGATTTTTTAAAATTTGATGATATGTTCCCATACTTAATATCTGATATACCCATTCAGCTTTTAAGAAATGTGAAATCTATGCAGAAGAAACTTATAAAATGCCTCTCATCAGAAAAACTAGCTCAGATGCATGGATGGTCAGAAATTGTTCGGGAAAGGCAAGATATACTGGAGAAACACTATAGGCGTGAAGACTTTGAAATAGGAGGTAAGAAAGTTCTGAATGATTACTCACTAAAATAAAATAATTTACAGAAGACCTTTGAGATAAAAAGAAAAATGGCGACCTTGAAAATTTTTATGCTCTTTCTAATTGGCTAGTGATAAAATGTTTTACTCTGAAACAACCCTCTGTGATAATTGATTTTTTTTTTTTTTTGCTGAGGTGGTAAAACAAGATACTTAATGATGATAATGAGAAAGAGTATAACTAAGCGGCATTTACTCCCCTTATCTCATCCCCCACCTTCCTGCCCCCCCAACACACATTACATTTTAAACTATTCTCATTAAGCAGAAAATTAGACTTCAGAAGCCTATTGGTTCTCATTAGCATGCACTGATCCTTGGCTGGGTCTGTGTCCTAACATCTTTTAATTAGCACACTGCAAATCTAATCAGTGTAATAAACGCTATTAATCTTCCTTTTCACTTATTTTCTCCCAGCACATCATCTTGGCTTTCTCTGGGCCTCTCTGGCAAACACCATTCCAACTATGTTCTGGGCAATGTATTACCTTCTTCGGCACCCAGAAAACATGGAAGCACTGCGTGACGAAATTGACAGCTTCCTGCAGTCAACAGGTCAAAAGAAAGGGCCTGGACTTTCCATCCACTTCACCAGAGAACAATTGGACAGCTTGGTCTGCCTGGGTAATTTATTTTTATCTGTTATGAAGAGAAGAAGGTAGCTCTCTGCAAACTCAGTTTATCACTCATAGCTGTTTACCAAGAGGTGGAGGACACAGCTGCCTAATTGACATAATAACACCCATTTACATCAATTATAAATTATGTAGTTTATAGCTGTAGATACTCTCATTGCATGTAAACATTAAGGCCTAGCTAATTAACTATGCAAGGTATGCAAAGGGCTAAACCAAAGCTTTGCAATTATTTGGGGAAAAAATGTGTATGCCTATTAAGTCATTTGATTCTAAGCATCTGTTGGCCTGCTGATGCTTCCCAAACACTGCTGTCCTATCTTGACAAGAAAAGGATTCCACGGCTGAACAGGAAAATATTTCAGAGGGGCAGCTTGTGTGCAAAAAGTACTTACTCTTCCTTAAAATGGCATCTTCATTTTCAGGCACAGGTCATGGTGTTTTATATGGTTTGGAGTATATGGTGCTTAAGTTAAAAATCCTTTCATTGTGGGCTAATGGTTTAAATACGCAAATAAAGAGTGAGGCAAAGAATGGAAAGAAGGGAGGGAGGGATGTGAGGAAGCAGGGAAGGCAGGGAAGTGGAAGGGAAAAACTGCTCTAGACCTTTAAACATTGGTACTTTAAAAAATATTACTGATTTAGCAAATAAAGGTGAACATTATTTCTAATATTTCTGAGACCCATAGGAACTGGTTGTTTTGCTTTTTCTCCCGCCCCCTACCCCCGCCACCCTTTTTATGTTTGCCTTGACTCAGTCAGCCTTCCACTGGACATGAGATCTTGAAATGCAGCAACTGCATTTCCATTTCCTGGGTTTAAGCAGGCTGCTTGTTACCATCATGTAGGGAACTGATATTCCTAAAATTAAAATCTGTACCAATACATGGCAATTCCCTCTGTATTCATATCTCATCCTATCGTATTCTTGGGGATATAGTACTTTCAGTTTCTTTGGACAAATGCATTGTTGGTAAACTTTCCTCGGCTATTTGACTTAATAAGACCCTTAATTTTACCCTGCTTTGACCTCAAGTTTTTATGCATAAAATATATCCTCTCTCTCTCTCTCTCTCTCTCTCTCTCTCTCTCTCTCTCTCTCTCTCTCTCTCTCTGCAAATTCTGAGATATTAGGTCCTAATACTTTTGATCACAGTTAACTACTTGGTACTAATAAGATAGCCCAAGTGTTACAAAGGTGGATCTCTGTGGCCAGGACAACAGCAGTCACCGTGACTTATACTTCAATCAATTATGAAAGTTGTGTCACCTGTAGTGTGAATTATCAAAGGAATTCCATGTTTGTTTGGAGGAAGAATATTATCCATCATTATCAAAATGTTAATGTTCTTTTCTTTTTATTTCAGAACTCTTAGGGAACTAATACACAAAATTTAGGTAAAATATGGGTAGTTGCTGATACTTGAAATAGTAGTGTTTTCTGAGTTCATTTGGTTTCTATGGAGATCTAAGTTGCATTTTCCATATATCCAGGTAATTACCCTTTCATTTTAAGAATGAGATGATCAGGAAATAATGCGAGTGAACTCCAAAGAATATGTTTGTATTCTGTACATAATTATTCCTTTTCACAGTTTGCTTGAAATTCAGCAACTCTCTATTTATAGTAGCTGTTTGTCATTGAAATAAAAGATTGTTTTTAAAGTACAGTGTTAAGAAAGAAATGTTTGGGTTTATTTGACCAGAAGAGATAAGTTCTGAAGTTGTAATTTAGGTCCATGTAAGTCCACAGCTAGACTTAGGGACTCTCATCCTTGGAGCCCTCATAAATTTGCGCCCTTCCCATGCTTAACCCATGAACAGAAACAACAAAATCTTTTATTACTATTATTATTCTCATACATTACATCCTGACTGAAGTTTCCTCTCCCTCTACTCCTCCCAGTTACCTGGAACCTCACCTCTCCCCCAGATCCATTCCTCCTCCATTTCCCTTCAGAAAAGAGCAGGCTTCCCAGGGATATCAACTGAACACTGTAAGACTAGGCACAAGCCCTTGTATCAGGACTGTGTGGTGCTGTGGGACGGTCTGTATGTCAAATCTGTTGCTCTGATTGGTCAATAAATAAAACACTGATTGGCCAGTGGCCAGGCAGGAAGTAGGTGGGACAAGGAGAGAGGAGAATTCTGGGAAGCAG